TAGAAGACAGAGGGAAGGAAATACCAACTTTAAAAAACTTTATTATTTAGAAAATAATAAGGAAATTCTTCACATATCAAAAGATATACTTTAAAAATATTCTCCGTAGCATGGTACTAAAGAATGAAAGTAAAATTAAATGTAAAACATTTAGCCTCAAATGTCTCTTTCTTCCACTTTGGACAAGTTATATAATGCCTCTGAGCCTCAGTGTCCTTATCTGTAAAATGGGCTCAAAAATAAGTTTTCTAAATAATCCACATGGCCTTTTTGGAGATTTGGTGACTTAAAAGTGTATCAAAGTACTTTATTTATTAGTTATTTCAAAGTACTTTGTAAACTCTGAATCAGTATTGCCTAAAACTTGCCAACAACAAGAATTGCCTGCTCATATTTGGTGTGGTTTTGGTTTGTTGCTTATTTATATGTTTGCTTTTAAAACATATTATTTAATCCTAAGGAATAAACTTCCAGCCAAGATGGAGGTATAGGTCGACACACTGTGCCTCCTCACACAACCAAAAGAAGGACAACAACAAATTTAAACACAAAAAATAAACAGAACTGACAGAAAAATCAAACTGTATGAAAGTCTGATAACCAAGGAGTTAAAGAAGAAACATTCATCCAGACCAGTAAGAAGGGCAGAGACAGGCAGCAGGGACAGAGGGGACTCACGGCAAGGCGGTGGCTGGAGGAACTGGCGGTGGCTGGAGGAACTGGGTAAGTGAGGCAGCAGCTGGCAGATCAGGTGGTCCCACATTCACATGCAGATAAACCGGGAGGAACAACTGGGGAGAAAAACAGACCATTCAACCTAGGGTTCCAGTGTGGGGAAATAAAGCCTTAAACCTCTGACTGAAAACACCTGTGGGGGCTGAGGCGGCAGCAGGAGAAACTCCCAGCCTCATAGGAGAGTTCGTTGGAGAGGCCCACAGGGTCATAGAACATATACAAAACCACTCACCTGGGAATCAGAACCAGAAGGGCCCAATTTGCTTGTGGGTAACAGGGAAAGTGACTGAAAACCAGCAGAGAGCCAAACTAGTGACATTGTTCCCTCTCGGATACAGTGTCACAACACAGCGATGTGTGTTGCCCCACCTTGGTGAACACCTAGGGCTCTGCCCCTTACTACATAACAGGCATGTTGAGACAAAAAAAATGGCCCAAAGGAAAGAACGAATCCAAGCTCTGGAATGAATACAATTAAGTGACAAAGAGATAGTCAACCTATCAAATGCACAGTTCAAAACACTGATAATCAGGATGCTCACAGAATTGATTGAATATGGTCACAAATTAGAGGTAAAAATGAAGACTATAAAAAGTGAAATAAAGAAAAATGTACAGGGAACCAACAGTGATGGGAAGGAAACTGGGACTCAAATAAACAGTTTGGAGCAGATGGAAGAAAGAAACATTCAATCAGAACAGAATGAGGAGACAAGAATTCAAAAAAAAAAATGAGGAGAAGCTTAGGAACCTCCAGGACATCTTTAAAAATTCATGCATCCAAATCATAGGGATGCCAGAAGGAGAAGAGGAAGAGCAAGAAATTAAAAACATAATTAAGGAGAACTCCCCAAATCTGGCAAAGGATATAGACTTCTAGGAAGTCCACAAAGCTCAGAGAGTCCCAAAGAACTTGGATCCAAGAAGGAACACACCAAGGCACATCATAATTACATTAGCCAAGATTAAAGATAAGGAGAGCATCTTAAAAGCAGCAAGAGAAAAGGAGTTACCTACGAAGCAATTCTCATTAGACTGTCAGCTAATTTCTCAAAAGAAACCTTGCAGGCAAGAAGGGGCTGGAAAGAAGTATTTGAAGTCACGAAAGGCAAGGACCTACATCCAAGAAGACTGTATCCAGCATAGCTATCATTTAGAATGGAAGAGCAGATAAAGTGCTTCTCAGATAAGGTCAAGTTAAAGGAGTTCATCATCACCAAGCTCTTATTATATGAAATGTTAAAGGGACCCATATAAGGAAAAGAAAATAAAAAATATAAACAGTAAAATGACAACAAACTCACAGCTATTAACAACTGAACCAAAACAAACAAACAAACAAACTAACTAACTAACTAAGCAAAAATCTAGAACAGAACAAAACCACAGAAATGATGATCATACGTAGGGTTTTCTGTGGAGAAGTGGGGTGGGAGAGGGGAAAAGGTACAGAGAATAAGTAGCATAATTTGTAGGTAGAAAATAGATAGGGGGATGTTAAGAATAGTATGGGAAAAGTAGAAGCCAAAAAACTTATATGTATGACCCAGGGACATGAACTAAAGCGGGGGAATGTGGGTGGGAGGGGGTGTGCAGGGTGGATTGAAACAAAGGGGGGAAATGGGACAACAGTAATAGAATATATTTTAAAAAATTAAAAAAAGAAAAAGAAAAGAAAAATAAATAAAACTTATTATTTAATCCTACCTGAAGTGTATTGAAACTGAAACTTCAAGAGTAGACTTGTTATTGTCTTTCAAAAGATTCAAGTTTCCCAACTTTTCATCTCTATCTAATTTTAAGACTCCTTCACCAAACCAACTATATACACATAGTATACTTTTAAAATTGCATTTCCTTATATAAGTAGCTCTATGGAGTCCAGTCAGTATTATATAGGGTTAACATACAGAACTTTTTTTAGTCTACACTTTCCAATTGGCATGTTTCATGGGATAACACAATTCTATTAACAATTCTAAGGCCAACCCCCCAGGACAATTTTGAAGGCCATCAAGTTTACCTTTCCAATCTACTATGTGTTTGTACGTCCTTTTTTGTTTGTTCTAATTTGCCATCTTTTACTCAGGTAGAGGATACCAGGTCCTCCTGTTCAAATAACTGGCTTAATTTATACTCATGCACCTCAGTTCTTAACATCTTAATATATTATGACTCTTTAATATCTCAAATGTTAGATAATATGTCAGTATATTCTAAAGTGGGCTTTAGGAAGAGGTAATATTCAATCCTAAAGAATGAACGGTGCAACTGGAGCCTTTCCCGCTAGATATCTCTGTCACGGAAGACATTGTTTTTGAACTTTTTATACCATGCTGTTTGCAAAGTCATCTCTTTCACCTGCAGGGAAAGTGACTCTCACTCTCAACCAGTTTGAAAGAAGTTACTGAGGGACCATGGCAGCATTAGAGGGTCCACATCAGTCCCCCAAAAGTCAAGTGGTCCTTTATCTCTCACCTGACATGTCTGTGCAAAGGTGATGATGATGTAGTTGGGGAAGAGCCAGATACCAAAAGAAAAACATCTGCACTGGCCAAATAGAGGACCCGGTTTCAACACTGTTGCTGCAAATTTCTCTACTGTTTTTCCCTTTTTTTTCCCTGCAGACTGCACTTTATGGAAGATGTGGAAGAATTGAATTGACCAGAGTTGTTACAGAACTAGATGAGATATCACAATAGAATCAGATGTTGGGGGGCACACAGAATCCTAGAACATTAAGATGGTGATTATTGGTATAAGAGCTAATACAGCAGCTGAGTCACTAGCATCATCAGTATCATCTGCAACCGGGGTCAAGGGCACAACTGGAGTGAGGAGACCTCCTTCGAATCCAAAGGCCATGTGTCTTTAAGGGTTCTCCACTGAATAAGTGACCTCTGCGGTAGCAGAGCCTGAGGCAACACATTCAGAGTGCTCCTGCCTCCTCCACCTGAGTCATGTGGACATTTGCAGTACTGGCCTGACCGTCTTCTTGCTTGCTGTGATTTCCCATTTGTTCTCTGCATGACCCTGCACGGGCCACCTGGGTAGTGCATTCCATAATTCCTTGCTCTGAAACTCTTGTGCTTTCATGAACTTTGGCATCTCATTGTGTCATATTTCATGTGTGCTGTATAATCTCAACATTAGGATTTCAAATTATCCACAGTAAATTTTCAATTCAAATTTATATCCCAGTTGCTTTTAAATTACCTTTCATTGACCTCTAGTGTTATGAAACCACAAGGAATATGAAACCAGTCCATTATTAGCTTAATATTAGAAATTGGGAGGGCAAATTCAGCTCTTGGAAAACAAACAACAAAACCTAGTTCACCCGAGAAGTACATCAGAATGACAAAAAAACATTTTTATATTTTTGGAGTAACTTTTTTTTTACAACTATTCTTTTTTTTAAAATATTTATTTATTTATTTATCTTTAGAGGGGAAGGAGAGAGGGAGAGAAACATCAATGTATGGTTGCTTCTAGTGCATCCCCTGCTGGGAAGTGGCCTGCAGGGAACTGGCTTGCAACCCAGGCATGTGCCCTGACTGGGAATTGAACCGCGATCCTCTGGTTCGCAGACCTGTGCTCAATCCACTGAGCTACACCAGCCAGGGCTTATTCTTGAACAATAGTGGTTTTCAGGATGTTTTCCTATAAATCATCAATTAAATTTGCTTCTAATCTGACAGTTATGGTAGCTCAGACTTAAATTAAATATTAACAGAACCTAGTAGATGGAACCTACCTACTATGGAAATGTAAATATCAATAAAGCACACACTTCTTTTTTATTAGGTCGTTAATTATAATACAAGAATAATCACAAATATGTTCACAAATGATTATTTGAAAATGATGCTGTGGTGGAGTACTATACAGCTGTAAAAAAGGAATGAGGACTATCTCTTTCTGTATGGAGCCAGGGAAAGCTCTCCATTATATATTATATGACATGGGTTTGTTCATCTACTAAACAGGGAAATGTGAACATTTGTATACTTGCATGAGAGTCAGTTGCCTAAACTCCTTGAGTCCCAGGCTCCGCTTCCATATAAGGATAATGATGATTGTTACAGACGATTGTTACGAGGATTAAGCAAAATAAAATCAGATATGTAAATGATATGGGTGCTAAATCACTATTATTCCCTAATTTATGACAGGAGATCCTTTAGAGAAACTCCAGGGCTTGGAAAGAAATAAAAGAAGCCTTATTACAGGGTCTATCAGCAGGAAGTTTGAGTTGAAATGGGTTGGGCAAAAGCAGCAGTTTATTCATGTCTTACAAACATAGTCTTACAAACATCATACATCGCTGGCACGAAAGAACAGACACCATCTCATACGCCATGCTTCCTTCCAAATCACTTCTACTGAGTTACAACATCAGAACAAGTCGGCTACTGAGTTACACAGTTCTTCAAAAGCAAGTACCTCGCCACTGGAGTGGTCAGATTGGCTAATCAGACGAACAATTAATTTACATGTTTAATACAGTGCAGGATTTGCAACAGAATTCAGGGTATCCACATTGATATTTTAATGTGTCATAAAACAGTACAACTATCAGAAGATGATGAGATCACACACACCCCTGCCTGTTTCAATTCCTTTTTAGTTTTTCTTCTTTCTTTTCTTGAAAGCAGTTGCAAATAGTTCTACTCAACTTTTCACACGCGAAAAACACTTGAAGTTTTAATAACTAAAAACTATTTACAAATTATCATTGTAATTTCAAAAGTATGTGTTGTTGGTTTTGTTGTTCCACTTAAAAAAATTATCCCCCCTTTCCAGCAACCACCCCTCACTTGGTACCACAACTAACTTCTGGCAGCTGTGAAGGGTACTTCGGGTTGACCCCTCACACATGTGCAGAGCTCCAACATGTATTACAGTGCATGGCCCATGTACCAAATATACATACATTAAAAGGCCATTGATTTCCCCAAACCACACACTGACTACAATTCACTTCGTTTTGCTTTCATGAAAATGCTGAGTGGACCAAGATGTTGATAGGTGACTGTGTGGTGGAATGAAGGAAATGATTGGGGAATGGTCATTTCAATCCCAAAGTCATCTTAAAGCACAAAAAGAGGTCGGTTTCAATTTTTGTACATGTAAAACTTTTTTCTATACATTAGGCATAGTCATAAAAAGCATGTAGAAGTTGTTTTGAAAATGCATTGTCATAGAATTTACAAACACGGAGATATCAAACACATTCTCAAAAAACGGCTAGAGTACTGACACAAAACCTGACTCAAAAATGTAAAATTTTCAGTAGACTTCATTTGCTAACTTGCATAATTAATACTTCAACTGTACCCGAGTTTCACCCATACATCTCTGAATACTTCAAGATAGTAACGTTACCTCAAGTTCATTCGCAGGGCACTGCTTCACTCTAATAGGTTCTTAATGAATTGCAGGTCCCTGGCACTGGAGAAACGGTGTTAAGACACAAGTCTGCCTATAAACTGTTCCACAGAAAACAGCTCAAGACAAATCAGCTGAGGAAAGTTAGTGAAACATTCTTTATTGTGCTAATTTGGCAGCCTAAATAGATTTTGTGTGAACATATGTAAATTGTATTAGGCTTGCTGTATAACAACTTCTTCCTCTTGGTTTCAGTAATTAATGCTTTCCGTCTGGCAGTGGTTAAAACTTCAGTCTTCATTTGTTTCTTTTCAAATAGAACCTTAGTCTTTTCTGGAGAGCAACTTGAAGACTTAGCTGTGCCCCCTCCGTGTGCAAGAGAAGGCCTTGAGTGTACACTGCCATACTTTACATATTTCCTACGAGAAAACTGCATCTCTAACTGGATTTCTACCTGAAGTTTCTATCTGTACCCACTAGCTAGTTCGACAACTTCACAAAGGTAAATAGGGCTTCCTAAGACCACACTGACGCTTGTAATAGGCAGTAAATAAGTCAAGGCCATGGTCCTTATGTGAGATTATATTTTACAACGTTTGACTCACATATAACCTTAAGGGGGGAGAAAAATCATATTTCAGCCACAGTGTTCTTAACTCAGCCCTTTGATAAAATGATGACTCAGTTTGTTCACTGGCCTTTTGAAGCAAACCTATGTTACTCCTCTTACGACAGAATCGTATCAAGTAATTACAAAACAAAGAGTAATGACCATATACTTTTATATGCAGGACACCATTTGCACATGACATAATTAAGAAAAACAAACTAGAAAACACTTTCTCAATATCTTTGGATGTAAAGAAAATTGACTTCCCCTCTAGAAGAAAAAGAGATGAATTTTCATAAGACATGCTTTTCATTCCTAAATTTTCACAATCCCATTAACTTCCAGTGACATGCTCCGATGAGAGTGTCACCTCCTAAACCACAGCCACGACATGGAATTGTACCACAGTGTTTGTAAAACACTTGAGCACTCTTGTTTGTGTCACTGGTAACCTGCAGCTAAAGTTAAATATCTTATGAAAATGGATCCAATGTCTCTAGTAAAGGGGGACACTATCAGAATACACACTGACAGTTACTTTCTGGTCTGTTAATCTGATCCATTTCTAACAACAACAACAAGAAGAAAAGGCAGCTTGCTGTCACAAGCTTGCGATCACGTATCAGAAAGAAAAAAAGAACTGTTCCTTGCCTAGTAAAAACCATGAAGTCCCAACGCTTGGCCAGAATGCTAACCATCACAGAGCATGTGCCACTTGGCGATCTGTCTCCTGGGGTAGTCACAGATCTCCTTCCAGTGCTCTCCGCCGGTCCCTTCCACGGCGGCTCCCAGGACCAAACGCCCGATGACCTCATTGCGGGATCCCCTTTCGGAATCCAGAACGAGAAATTCAACACTTATCTCTTCCAGACCCTCACAAGGAATATCAAAGACAAACAGTTCGTTGAACACGGCGTTGGGGGTGCATTTCTTCACGTGAGTCTTCTTTTTGGAGATCCTCTTTTTGGCATGGTACAGGTTCACTTTGACGTAGGGGTCTGCAATGGTAAGCAACAGGCATTACAGAACAGGCCCCGGCTGGGGAGCTGGCCTCGGCATCGCGGTGTCCTCAGAGATGACTCCCTGCCCACAAAATGTGATTACGAGGAAAACAAGGCAGAACGGAGCAAAAGTATGCATAACCTCAGATTCTCTCTTGTCAGCAAAGTAACTAAGAATGTACAGCATGAGAGAAAATGGTTTTAAACCAGGCCATGAGGAGAAGAACTGTAATGACAAGATGAAGAGACAATATAAAGGAGAAGAAAAGAGAATATTCTAATGACACATTCTAACTGCTAATAACTCATTCCAGTAACAGGATAGAAGAGGAAAAAACATTGGTGAACATCTAACCTTACTGAATGTGACTTTAGATAAGTCTTTCTAGCTTTCTGAGCTTGGGCTGCTTTTTCTGTTGGACAGACATGAATTTACCATGGCAATGCCCTTTTTGGCTTTAACTTTTTTATGCTTCTTTAATTGTGTACTAGGATTGCTTTCTGTTTCCCATTGTTGACCTTCCCCTGTCACTGCTATTGTGTGAACTTTAGGACCATGCTACTTTATCACAAACTGATTTATATTATTTTGGCATTTTTCTGGTTGCAGCATATAAATTAATTTTAGCTCCCTAATCGAAGCCTTTAAGACCATACCATGTCTTCAACTTCTACTATCTAATAATAATAATAAATAGGTGATATTTAGTGAAATATATATTTCTAGTCCTCACAATGCACCTCAAGATAAGTATTATGTCCAGTTTATACAGAGTTTAAGAAACATACCCAAGCTGACTATGTTAAGAAATGGAAGGGTTAGGATTTGAATTCTGGTCATTTTAACCCATAGGTCTTGTGTTCTTCCTCATCCTGGTATGCAACTGCTTTTTTAAAAGATTAGGCACAAAACCAAAAGGTAATTCTTAATGCAGGCATAAAAAAATCAAAAGGAAACATAGTAAAATAACAGGCGTAAGGGTAGGCAGGCTCACTTAACGTACTAAAACTGCAAACAGCTCTTCCACCCTTCACTTTATTTCCATCCCCCCTGGGTCTTTGGCCATGGCCTCCTATCACTGCATTGACCACCGGCTGTCTGCTGAACCCCATTCGGACACCGACCCTGTACTGGCTTTGGTTTAGATCTTAGCACTATGCCACTGGTCTTCCTCTTGCTAATGGCATTGGATCACATTATTAGTCCAGAAAATGAGAAACAGGAAGAGAATCACAGCCCTTGTGATCCTGACTAAAAGGCAAAGCAGAATGACGATGTCAGTTAACTCTTTTGCCCAGTGGCTCTCACTTACACGTGGAGCCCGAGTTTCTCAGAAGCGTTCTTACCCGAGAGTCCAGACACATCGGATTTGGGCAGGTGTCGAGCTTTCAAGACAACCACAGTGAGAGTGTTCGTGGTGGACTGATAGCAGAGAGAGATCAGCAACTCCCCGCGTCCCGAAGACTTCTAAACAAAGGAAGATGTGGTATATTTATTATTTTTTGTTTTGAAATTGGTACTTCTGTTAACATTTTCAAGCAATGTAATAGTCTTGTTATTTAAATGTAACTTTTCTACTTATTTTTATTTTAGGATGCTAAGGAATCCTAGAGTAACAAGCTTTTGTGTAGTACCATCACCACCTGAAAAACGACTGCCTGCCATCTTGTGGTGCTTTTAGGTACTACTGGGTGTTAAAATGGAAATGAGTTAGCCACACCCCTTACTAGAAATGTTTTAAAGGATATTTAGAGTATAGCCTATACAGAGGTATGTTTAGCTTTTGCTTTCTAAATTAAATCTATACTTTTTGAAGTTATTAATAGTAACAAATTATCTAGTCATTTAAATGAATCTATAATAAGGCAAAACGACTCACGTTAAGCTTGACTTTATTTTAAATTCTTTAGCGCTGAGATTATTGGAATTTGGATTCATAGCAACTGAACTTTATTCAGACCCCCATCACTCTCTGGGTCCACATGGATGATGGAGTTAAAATTCTCTGCAAGCAGCCCCACCCAAGGTCCTATTTAATGTAAGGAGTGAATTAAGTATTAGAGAGAATTTACTTGATTTTTAATGCTTTGTGTTTGGACAGTATCACAGGATCCTTGTGATACTTAGGTTTTATTTGTACTCTACAGACATTAAATAAGATTACTGAGAATTCAAAGTACAAGTTTTAACTGAAAGTAACAAAGTACAACCTTGGGGCTTGATTGTAACAAAGAATGGTGTCTGGACCAGAGCTCCAAAGACTTCACTATACATTTATACAAAAGCTGACAGTGGGTAGCTGTATGAACAAACACTTCAAGAAGAATGAGACCAGGGCACAGGTAGGCATCCCACTGTCTCTAAACAGCCGGGTGTCTCATACAAGCTACTTAATGTATCTGGACCTTGGCTTCCATTAATTTCAATGAAGAGGCAGAGGCAAAGATATGGTCAAAATGAGCTTTATGGTATTTTATGGAACTATAGCTTATAGACACAAGTTATTCTGAAATACCACAACTGGAATTGGTTGAGTTCTCTATTCAATGTGGAAAGAGGATTCAATTTGATTAACTAATGTCCTATTTTCTAATCCCCCCAGAACTACCAAAGTCATACAACTGTGAAGGCAGAGTAACTCATTTCCTGTTATATGACATGAAGATGAACATTTATAATTCAACGTGATATGCTGTCTCCTCCTGGAAAAGCAATTCTATGAAAAGTCAATACAACTTCCAAATCCTCAGGATAAATTGATTTAATTTTCAATTTCAATTTCAATTTCAAATTCAATTATCCTAACTTTGTTAGCCTGAGTATAAATAAATATTTGCCTACATTTTAGTTGAGTGGCATCTTAGTCAAATTACTTGGGCTAGAAATTGACAAAAAAACCTATTTATATGTAATACTTAAATATCTATAAAGGACGCCTATTTTTATATCATTAAAATATTTTAATCATCTCAGCTGTGAATTAAATTTTCTTTCATCTACTCTATTCCCCTGCTCCTATTTGATTATGATTAATAACAATTAAACATGGTAAAGATAATATCTACAAAACATCATCCTAATGAAAACCCCCTAGATACAAAAAAAGCTACATTAAGAGATTATTTGTAAATATGTTAAGCACTACAAATGAATTACCCTGACATTTCTCTTGATAATCTCTCTGTTCATTAGCATTTTTCCATCAGACAATTCAATTCCTGCCAGAGGAATAAGGACTTCTCCAATGATATCATCTCTTGAAAACCTGTCAAAACTCAAGACTGTGAAGTGCAAGGCCAGCTCTTGGATCTGGGTGTAGGGGATCCCATAGAATGTAAAGGTCTCATCAAAAGCTGGGTCCAAGGTCTTTCTCAGAACTCTGGTTTTCACTTTATGCTTCTTCTCTGGGAGGATCGTCATTTTGATATATGGGTCGGAGGTCATCGACTGCTCATCCATGGCTGGCAAGCCACGGGCTTCCTTGATGTTTACCACAAATGCTTTCTTCTCAAAGTTGTACTCTAAGGAGAAGAAGAGGGTTCCTAGCTTCTCTTGTTTCTCTTCTGAACTGAGGGAAGTGCTAGACTTTAAACTATCAGGGGAAACCCCTTCTCTCTCCCCTTCTGCAAAGAGCTTCGAGGTCACATTCTCCAGATCAGGGGGACTGCCAGCTTTGAGGTTTGTTTTGGGGAAATTGCCATTGAGATCTCTCTTCTCAAGGTCAAGATGCAATGAATTCTTTGACACAGCTGTTTTATTCTTTACTTCATTTTTGTCCTCTGCTCCAAACTTCTTTTTGCTGCTCAGGTTTTCAGGGTAAATATCAACTCCCTTCAGCACATGCACAAATTTATATGGAGGAGTCTTGTTAGACTTGGATGATTTTCTCTGACAGCAGATCCATGCAAACAGAGAGACCGTGAAGACCAGGCCAAATGCACTGAAGATCCCCACCACTGTGGGGATTTCATCTGAAAAATCAAAAGACCAATAACATATATTAAAGGGGCAGAGTTGGAGACAGGAGCCTATGTGAGAAGCATCCTACAGCTGGCAGTGGCTTCAGGTGGCACAGACTGAATTACTTTCCAACTGTTCTGGGTTTGAGTTCTGCACACATTTCATATCACCTTGCGGGGGGAGCACATCCTTTGTGTGACACACAGGGAAAAATACAGGATAATAGAAACTTCTTCATGTCAGTAGTTTTCATAAATGAAATGAAAAAGTAAAATGGGGCTTGAGTCAAGGGTGAGGGAATGCTAAATGACCCTGACCTACCTTTGTTTCTGCAGATGAGTCAATGTAGCATGATGGGTCAGTACTAATTGCATTATGTTTTCATTGACATTTGGAGACTTTCCAGAAGGATCAATGCTTACTGACTATAAAACTTTAAATGCACATTCTTCAAATATCAAGAGAGTCTGTATTCTTAGTTGCTCTTTATCTACCCAGGATCCAAGCAGCAAACATCTAGGGACTCAGTGATTCAGGTAATTTTAAGAAATGGTGGAACATTATCTGCCATTGTCACAGACTCATTAATAATATCCATCCATATTATGCAACAGTGGTGAGAGATATATAGATATGGATATAGATACAGATATAGGTATAGAGATAGATGTATACACACAGATATACAGAGAGAAAGTAATAATTTAAAAGAACAGGATATTAATACTGCATGACTTATAACACTACAAACTCCTTGAATACTAACCCCAAATTCCTCAAACACTGAATTTTCTGAAGCACAAATTAATTACACCTATATAGGATAAAGCCAAATAATGATTCTAAATGAGTCATCATTCCTTAACAGGTAATGAGAAGAGTAATTGAGTATAGATAATTTAAAGTTCAATTTTATCCATAACTGACTTTTTCCTAGCATAGTTCTACATGGCAAATGATAAACAAATTGAAATTGGCATTCTTTCCTGGAATGAGGGCACATTAAATTACACTGACATTAGGTAACATTGATTATGCAGGAAGCTTATCATGTTTCTTATGTAAGCACACTTATCCCACAGATGATTAGTAACATGTGTAAAAGCAATATTACTATACCAGGACACAATGCACCAGTTAGTCAATGTTTAATATAAGCAAAGTGAATATAACTAATATAATATTATCTGCATTTAGTTCCATGCCAGTCTATTTTTATTTCATGCCAGATACTGAAGAATAAAGTTAAAAGTTCCAGTCAGGAGAGGGTTAAGTGTTGTTAAAATAACCCATAAAGGAATAATCTTTTGTTACTCCCCTTTCTCATCCCTCCAAATCTTCTGCCTATCTACTTCATGATCACAAACTAGACTCAAAGAATTTACAGTAAGCACTGAAACATTTAGAAATGTCAAAGGAAAGCAGAAGTATCTAAGAAGATAAAAAAAGCAAAATGAAACAATAAAATAGTCTGTTGTTTAATTATATCAAGAAACTAAATCACAGAATGATAAAAAATAAGCATTTTAAAGCCTCAAATAGAAAGAGCAGCAAATGTTACAGAAAAAGAATGAGGTGAGAGATAAAAAAGATAATTAGCTAAACTTAGTATCAGCTTTTCAGTTTTTCCTTCTATTCAAGTCTTTGTGGTAGAAAAAAAAAATCCAGTCCTGGACTCTCTAATAAAACAAGGCCAGGAAGCAAGAGAAAGTCATGAACTAATAAAAGCAAGAGGAACAATACAAGCCATAAAAAATGATGTTTTTTTTTCTAAATGGACTGATAGCTCAAGCTGGAACGTATTTTTCACTAGTACAGTTTCTGAAAATGCCTCAGTTTTAGACAATTTCTGGCTTTCAAATCAGAAATTGTGATTAACATCAAAACAATATAAACTCTATCACCCAAAGAGAAGTCTGTGAAAGAAACCCATTTCTGAATATAATATCACAAATTGTCTCTATTCAATACTTGCATCAAATGACAAAATATTCAACATAACACAGGAAGACTTACTACTCCCTGCGTATCAAGTCTACTGATAAAGTCTTAAGCTTATGAAAGCAAAAATCTCAGTCATTTCACTTAGTTTAATAACATCATGCATTTATAGATATCATTCCTTATTGGCAAACTTCTATGAAATTCTCTGTTTTTATTGTTTAATACTTGTAAAGTGAGTAAAACTCAGATCTCTTATCTTTGGAATGTAGTGAGACCCACAGTATGATTTTTTTCCTTTGAAGAAGTACATCTGATTTTCCTTATTAAAAGAGAAGAGAGCAATGGTGCCAAAACTGTGGGATAGGAAAAGGGAAACTGAACTAGAAAAATGGAGTGCTAATCCTAGTTTCCAGTAGCTTTTAGATAACTGTTTGACCCGCAACACTTCCCCCCATCTCTCTGAGCTGGGCTCTGCTACCTCATTTCAAATATTCCTTTAACTCCATCTGGCATCTTAGGATTCTGCCTCTTTCACTAGCAACATATTTCAAGGATACAATAAAAACACAGCAGAGAAAACGTCCTTGGGGTGCACTCTCTTAATAAAATATACATTCTCAACCCCCCCCCCATAGGTAAGTTGTGTCATGTACGCCAAGATCAAACCCTTATGTAATCACAGACCATTCGGCTTCCCCTAAATTTACCTACGAATAAAAATCACCTATAAAATTAATGGAACAAACAAGCAAACGACAGACTCTTTTCCCTTCCCTTAGCGCATGCTGCAATTTACAGAGCTACTCGAACGTTTAAGGAACTTCTTGGATGTAAAATAGCCTGAGCAGAAGGCAATTTTAAGGAGAAAGATGCTAAGGACCGGTGAAACAACAGAGATAAGCCACGATTACCTGTTTATTGTTCTAATTTTCCTTTCCGATTAACTACCGAGTCGATCTATATTCAACATCCCGCGGGAGAAAAACAAAAACAAAAACAAACAACAACGAAACGCAGCCCACCCGGAGTATTCCAGCAACAACCGCAGTTATAAGTTGAGTAACTTGCTTACCAAATTCTTCCCTGCTGGTAGCGATCGGAGCCATTTTTTGCTGCGTGCTCTGTCCGAGGTGCTGAAAGGAAAACTCTGGCTTGGTTCACTTGCCTAGATCTGAAGCGCCGGCTTTGCCCTGTGCTGAAAACAACGGCGCAGAGCCCAGGGGACCTGCGCCTGGAACGGGGAGGAGGCAGAGGGGGAGGTCCACCCGCCCTCGCGCCGCGATTTGCCGCCCCTGTTCCTGTTTTGGCTCTTCTGAGCAGCTCGTCTCCAAGACTCCAGACGTGGCTGAAACCTGAATTGACGCAATCCTGACGCTACAGGGTTGAAATCAGCACCTGCCCCCCTCGCTTCCCCCCTCCAAACCTCTTCTCTCCTCTTTTTTTCTTTCTTCCTCCCTTCTCTCCTGAGGATTCAACACGCACTCATCAATTATTTTAACTGTTGGACTACTGGATATTAGCTTCGCTATTCTGTGGGGGTGACTCAGAGGCACATGGAGATGAACCCTGAAACTCATCCCTGTCAGTTCCTAATATAACATCTTTTCATCATCTAAATCAGTAAAAATGTGTCTGTGGGTTTTCAGAATAATGTCATTTACAGAGGCAATTTAAGGGAAGAGTAAAAAAAATTTCTGCATCAAATGACCCATGTAAAATGCAAGAATATGTTTTCTTGGTTTCTGGATTTTTCTCTCATATACTTATGTTAGAACACGATTCACTGCACATTCATCCATTTGAAATAAGATAACAGTTTTTCCATTATAATCACTTATTTTCTGATAAATTATTAGTCTAGACATTTTGCTGATGCTGCTACTCCATCTGTCTGTCTGCTCTCTTCCCCTTTAACATCTGACATTTGACCAGTTGGAGTAGTGGGAACAGATGGGAATAATACCTTCTGTATTCAGACTCAGTCTCAGTTATGACTTTTGCATATAATAAGACTGCTCCTGGAATTACATTTCTAGTTAAAAGCTTTGGCTTCTGATAGGGTTGTGCAAAAACAGTTACCAGATCAGACCAAAATCTAAAATGACATCAATAACTATTGGTTATTTTCAAAGGAAAACCTATTCTGTTTCCTGAACTGATGATCTTCCTAAGGTTGAGAAATTGGGAAAAATATGGTGTCAGATTCCAATTAATTTTAATCTAAAGAGTGAACATTTTTAAAACAAATGTTAACAGTTTTCCGAAGGAGAGAACTAAGGCTATTCCCCCAACTGTCAGTTATTGCTGGGCAAAGAATTCTTTTGCTGTGCAGCTCAGTGAGCAAATGACACTCAGTGTGTGCTGAGATGGGGGAGGAAGGAGCACTGGGTGAGTCTCAGAAAGCTACTGTACAAATGACAGGTCCCTGCGCGTTGGCGAGCAGCCACTCTGAGCGTCAGAATTGTGTCTGGGGAGAAATTGGCTTCAGCCTTTTGCATCATGGAAAATTTTACAAACCAATGTCCCTTTACTTTCCCTTTCTGCTTGCTCCCACATACGTGGCATTTTAACATTCTTCTGACAGATTTTTTAAACCTTATGAAAACATGCTATGAACACACACAGACTGATTTACTGTATTTAATTTTCCATTGGCAGAATCTGTGATTTGTGACCTTATCTTTTCACTTCATTCAGATCACTTGCTTCCTCAGTTAAGCAGGCACCTGGTGGATTTATCCTAGGAATAAACATCCCTTAGATGAAAGAGTGAGTCACGTTTGTTTGTGATTCAGATCACAGGTAGACAAAATAATAGAGTGAGGTTTACTGAGATGTGTGTTTTCTAGCTAAGTTATTGCTAACATATGGTTAAAGTCATTTGTTGTAAACAAAAGTACCTTATGCATATGTTCCATATAAATCAGTATCTCATTAATTTTACTTTCAAGTGGGAAAATGTTGTTACCTAAAATCTGTCTAGATTGTTTAAACTCTTTCTACAGAACCTCACCCCACCCTGGGCTGTCTCAGTTCTAAAAGACACATTGTGATAAGATTACTTCTTTCTCAGACTTAATGCTATTGTGGATAAAGTAACTATTTCATTGCTCGCATTAAAAGCAAACTGAAAATAAGTGTTATTGATTAAAATGCCGGAGGTTTTCCTCATTTTCATTTTGTGACTAGCATGTTATCCAGTATCCAGTCTCTTTAGAAGAGCTCCTGGCAGCACTAGATGAGGAGTCAGGAGCTGATCCAACACAGAGTAAAAAACCTGTAAGTTTCTCATGATTGAAATTCACACCCTACCACATTATTACATTGTTCTTTTTAGATCCAGCAAACAAGTACTCAATTTGCTGACGTGAGCAATACCGCTCTTGCAGCAGAGACTGGGGAGGAAGGGTTGTTGCTAAGTAACCACCTTTTTGCCACCCAAAACACACAGCCTCAAACAAGTTCCTGCCCTGGGAAACACAGTCTGTTCTGGACAAGTAGCAGTGTTCACTTCAGAATGATTCTTTGATTGTTGAAATAGTTCAGCGTTTACCCTACTTTATGTTAGATTCTGATTACAAATGTCTTTATACGTTGTTGATAAACAATGAGCTGAACACTTGAATTCAATTCGATTTTAAGAAATCCAGTTGATGACTCATGATATGATTTTTATCCATTTTATTCAAATTTAACACATTATTTATTATATGATTATATACTTTATTAATCATATTGTTTAATCTATACCTTCTTCATTTCCTTTCTTAAAAGTTTTGGTGGATGGATTTAGAACTTTCTCTGAGGCAATAAAAAATTTTGAAAGGTTTTGAAAATGTTGCAGTGAGCTTCGGTATTTTTTATCAATAGGCAGGTTAGTAGTATAAAGGCAAGTTACTGGAATGTGGGTGGAGTAGAAGGAAGTATCTGAAAATGGGTAATTAATGGATAATTGTTTTAATGTTCATATCATTCTATGAAAAAAGCTGGCTCTAATGTAATGGAATAGAGTTATATTACAAGCATACCCAAGTCAAAAATCCTGCAAGACAAAAATGCTTTTTGCAGTTGGCACCACAGAAATCCCATCACCATGAATCATTTCTACATTTATTTTTCTTCAACTTATTCAGCATTTACTATGTGCTGATCTAAATTAACCTTTAATGGCTCATGAGAAAAAAATTAATTACCATAGGCCAAATCTAAAACTGTTTATTAATGGAGGGTTAGCAACAGGGGAGTGGGAGAAGGAGAATGGGGGAGAAGGTACGGAAAATAAGTAGCATAGATGGTAGGTAGAAAATAGATAGGGGGGAGGGCAAGAATAGTATGGGAAATATAGAATCTAAAGAACTTGAGACACGTGGTCATAAACTAAAGGGGGGGAATGGTGGGGGAGGGGTGTGCAGGGTGGAGGGGAATGAAGGGGGGAATAGAACAACTGTAATGGCATAATTAATAAAATACATTAAAAAATAAAATGTTTATTAAAATAAAAATTTTTATTGAAAAATAAAATAAAAATCTTCCTTCTTTTCCTTTTTTCTTTCTTTCAAAAGTACTTACTAAACATGTACTACCTCCTGCGTTTTTGGTAAACAGGAGATATAAACTGGCCACAAAGACGAGAATGATCCTTGCCTTCACGGAGCTGAAAGACTATGGAGAAGAGGGGAAGCCCTCCCTCAGCTGGGAGAAAACACATTAGATTGGACTTGCACTCATATTTCTTTTATCTGGTAACTTCCAACGAGCGTGGTCAGCACTGCCCGCAGCCATCACCGACTGTCCCATTTAGCCTGCCCTTAGGGAACCTGTTTCCATAACTGTAGATTCATCGATTTCTACACTTGAATTGCACTCTTCCATCCCCTCTGTCTGTCCACATCTTCTCTCTAAGGGTCAGTTCATGTTTCATGCAGACCCTGAAGTGTCCGATTTAGCAACACATATGTTTTATCTGACTTAAATTCTTATAGTACTACCTCTAGTGAAATCCTTGAAGTCAGGCTTGTTATATCCTTGGCTATAGACCAACAGTTCCGAAAAAGATAAAGCAAAGGCCTCCACTATTGCTCACTTCAAATACCCCATCCGGTTCCCATTTATTCATGATATTTTTTTTTATACTGCAGTAAAGAAAACCAACAAATTTAATGTATTTGAGAAAATTAAACTTATTGATAATTCCTGGCAACACTGACAAGAACATAAAAAGAGCAAAACATACAAATTACAAATGACACAAGAGGGCATAGACTGTCAGCCAGAGAGCTGGAATAAGAGGATATATTTACAATGCTTATTTCTGACATGGGAACTGTATGCAGAAACATGTAAAGGAAAACGAATTTTTAAAAGACAGACTTCCAATTAAAAATAGGCAAATGCTTTGTAGAGACACCTCATTAAGAGCAATATAATGTCCCAGTGGCTCACAATAACATGAAAGGAACTTCACAGCAGCAATCAGCAGGGGAAAAAGGCAAATTGAAACCTCCCACAGGTGGGGTAGACACTATGACATGATGATAAGAATGGGGGGCAGCGAGAAGTCTTAGACACTGGTTTGGGGCCTTTATACTAGTAACAAGTGTTTCGAGAAACTGGAGGTGTCTACTAGTAGAACATAGACGTATGTCTTGGCCCTGTGATTCCAATCGTCGCTAAATTTCATATACCACCTGCGGGTTCTAGGATGTTTATAGTAGCATTATTTGCAGTAGCCAAAATGTGAAAACAGTTGACTTTTCCTATCAATACTAGATTGAATAAATAACTTCATGTGGTAGAATACTATATAGAAATGAAAAAGGACAAAATCTTGCTACATATCATAAGGTTGAATCTTACAATGTTTCATGGAAGAAATCAGAGAGAAAAAAGTACACTAAGATTTACTTATTTAAATTTCACAAAAAAAGAAATTAATCCATGGAAGTCAAGTGGTGATATCTTTACAGGAACCAATGACTAGGGCAATGGAGATGTCTGGAATGCTAATATTAGAATAATCTGGGTGGTAGTTACTAAGTTTTTTTTTCAATTCATTGAGTTGCTCAGCAAAACTTTCTGTACTCTTCTGCATATATGCCATACATTAAGAAAGTTTACCAAAAGTTGGCATGTAGGCGCACTTAGCATTGCTTCATATTTCATGAAGGTAAATTTTGTTAACAAGAAACAAAAGGCCCAAATGGGGTCACTTTTGCTAAGTCCCACCAATACTTAATACCTAATCTAACTGCAGTTTCAGCGTCTCTCAGGAGTGGAATTTAATCAAATG